TAGAAATTTATCTGGTTCCATATTAGAAATTTATCTGGTTCCATATTAGAAATTTATCTGGTTACATATTAGAAATTAATCTGGTTCCATATTATAAATTTATCTGGTTACATATTAGTAATTTATCTGGTTCAATATTAGAAATTTATCTGGTTCAATATTAGAAATTTATCTGGTTCAATATTAGAAATTTATCTGGTTCCACTTTAGAAATTTATCTGGTCCCATATTAGAAATTTATCTGGTTCCATATTAGAAATTTACCTGGTTCCATAATAGAAATTTATCTGGTTCCATAATAGAAATTTATCTGGTTCCATAATAGAAATTTATCTGGTTACATATTAGAAATTTATCTGGTTCCATATTAGAAATTTATCTGGTTCCGTATTAGAAATTTATCTGGTTCCATATTAGAAATTTATCTGGTTCCATATTAGAAATTTATCTGGTTCAATATCAGAAATTTATCTGGTTCCATATTAGAAATTTATCTGGTTCCATATTAAAAATTTATCTGGTTCAATATTAATAATTTATCTGGTTCCATAATAGAAATTTAAAACATTTTTGTTCTTCTCAATAAAGCTCTTCAATAAAAGGAGGTATATGATTGGAAGCATAAAAGATATCAATCTTACATTCAATTTACTTCTGTTTAGCTCACTTAATGACACAAAACAGAACCACTTTTTTCTAGATACAAATATAGATCATAAAAAAAATCTTTAAATTATATTTTACCAGTTGCAAGGAATATACGAGGCATAAATGATGTGTACTGCAGTTTACGGCAGAAATATAAACAGAAATGTTTATACATAATGATGTGTAATGCAGTTTCCGTTAGGAATATAAACAGAAATGTTATACATAATGATGTGTACTCCAGTTTCCGGTAGGAATATAAACAGAAATGTTTATACATAGTGATGTGTACTGCAGTTTCCGGTAGGAATATAAACAGAAATGTTTATACATAATGATGTGTACTCCAGTTTCCGGTAGGAATATAAACAGAAATGATTTTACATAATGATGTGTACTCCAGTTTCTGGTAGGAATATAAACAGAAATGTTTATACATAATGATATGTTTTCCAGTTTCTGGTAGGAATATTAACAGAAATGTTTATACATAATGATATGTACTCCAGTTTCTGGTAGGAATATAAACAGAAATGTTTATACATAATGATGTGTACTCCAGTTTCTGGTAGGAATATAAACAGAAATGTTTATACATAATGATATGTACTCAAGTTTCTGGTAGGAATATAAACAGAAATGTTTATACATAATAATATACACTCCAGTTTCTGGTAGCAACAGAAACAGAAATGTTTATACATAATGATGTGTACTGCAGTTTCCGGTAGGAATATAAACAGAAATGGTTATACATAATGATATGTACTCCAGTTTCTGGTAGGAATATAAACAGAAATGTTTATACATAATGATATGTACTGCAGTTTCTGGTAGAAATATAAACAGAAATGTTTATACATAATGATATGTACTGCAGTTTCCGGTAGGAAAATAAACAGAAATGTTTATACATAATGATGTGTACTCCAGTTTCTGGTAGGAATATAAACAGAAATGTTTATACATAATGATATGT